CTGAGAATTAAAGAAACCTGACTGGACAGGGAGGGAAAATTCCACAAGCTGGTCCCTATATACTGATCAGGAGATTCTTTTCCTTCTTTCCTGTTTCACCAAAAGGAACACTTGCCCATACTATTCACATTCTCAGAACACATTTGTTACTCAGGGCTCCTGGGATCTATAACCCCAACTGTTGGCTTTTGACTTCTCAATGTACTTTTGTTTTTTTACACACCTTTGCTTATATTTTAGGGCTTCTTTTCCCTGTGGGAGAGAGAGGAGTAGGTTGTAGAAATACTGGTGGAAAATAAGCCATAAATCACTTTACCTTCTCCACCATGAAGAACCAAATAGTGAGAGCCTCGAAATTTCTCTCCATAAACTACTTATTAACTACAAAGCGACAAATAATAATTTGACCGTGAAGAATCCTCATGGACACCACCTGAAGCAAGACACCAGTGAGACAGACGGACATCAGGTGCCTCCTGTCAGGAGGCAAAGAGAAGGACATCACTTCTGTGGTATCCCTGCCAAAACAGGAAACAGGACCAACTCAAATTGACTCCATCATTTTCTACTACAAGCAGCCTTGCTCTGCCGCGGTCAATAACGTGAAAGACAAAAAGGCTGAAGAACTGTTTCATATGTAACTTAAGGACACATGAGAACTAGGTATGCGAGTGGTCAATTAAGTGTCTGCCTTCAGCTCAGGTCATGATCCCAGAGTCCCAGGATCGAGTCCTGCATTGGGCTGCTTGCTCAGCGGGGAGTCTGCTTCTCCCTCCGACACTCCCCCTGCTCGTGTTCTGTTAAAAAAAAAAAAAGAGAGACATGAGAACTAAGTACCATGAATGCTTGTGGACTGGTTCTTGGACTAAAATAGCTATGAAGGATGTGACTAGAATAATTGGCAAAATTTGAATATGGACCGTAGAAGAGTCAACAGTATCAACGTTACATTTCTGATTTAGATCATCATTGCTGTGGTTACACAGGAAAATGTCCTTATTCTCAGGAATCGTCACTAGTTGGAGGTAGAGGAGCACAATGTCTCCAGCTTATCCTTAAATGGTTCAGGAAAAAAAAAAGGAAAGTATAGATGGAGAGAGAGTGAATACCAGAGACATGAAGCTAAAATAATTGGTGAATCTAAGTCAAGCAAATACGAGAGCTCTTTGTACTAATCTTGCAACTTCTCTGTAAGTTTGAAATCAGATCTATCTACATCTATACATTGACAACTAGATAGACATATAAAATAAACCACACAATTCAAAATAAATTCATCACCCAGGGCATCAACCTAAAATCCAGCCTATTCCTCAGGTATTCTTACGCGATCTGCACAGAAACAGACTAGGATACCAACAGTGACCAGGTCAGCAGACTCACTAATGAGTCTGTCTACATTTCTACTAGCTTAAATTATGTTTCATTTGTATAAAACGTATCAGACTTCCTTAAACTTAGTGCTGATGACTTATACGCTTAAACACTCAAAGTACAAATTCCATACTTCTTCTCCCAGTGAGGCCCAAGGTTGTCAATAATTCTCATGCACTAACAAGTAAGCAAGGCTAACTGCTATAGCCCGATTGTAGAACTTCTGTGTACATAAACTTTTTCTAACATGCCCAGTTCCCTATTTTCCTAGAAAATCCAATTTACATCTGCAGGATGTCAGATACCACAAATACCATGCTCTTGTTTTTGTCACATCAAATGAACCATTTTATTCTTTACCCTTCTTAAGAAGAAATTCAATAAATCTTTGCTCACTGCTGGCTTTTCTATCTCTTCCCCAGCACCTCCTTCTTTGATCAAGCTTTTCCATCCACTCTGGAATAATCCAGGGGTAATTAGAACTTCTTACCCTCTTTAGCCCAACAGGAGCCAATTTATCACAAACTGTCATGGATTCCGAATCTAAATTACCAAGAGTCCAATTACCGACAGAGGCAAGGAACCTTCTTTCCAATTAAAGTGATTGATTTCTTCCCAAACCCAGTAGCATTCCACTTTTTAATTATGTTCATTCTGATCAAATGTGGGAAAATTCTTCCTCATTTTATTTTCCTTCCAACGAACACGTTACAACAAACATTAATCACGAAGTGATACAGGCCGGACCTGCTAATGCCTTCGGCAGAAATGAACATCTAATCTATCTGTGGGTTCTGCCCACTTTATGGGTCTTAGTGCCTCCTTCAGCTCCAAAGGGGGGAAAAGGAATAATTATGTGTTACATCACCTAGTTGACCAAAGGGCTTGTCAAACCTTCCAGCATCAGCTAAATTGTGATGAAGCGGCACTGGATATTTAGATAAACAAGACTAGTGAGGGGAATGAAGACTTGGAGACAGAATTTAATTTCTGTTTCTTATGCAAAGAACAGAACCGCAGTGTTGGGAGACCAAGTAGTGTGTGAAGGTAAACATAAAGAACATGGAAACAATTCTCTTTTTTCTCACCGGAGCAGCATTAGGATGATTATGTACTGGAAGAATTTTGAAGGAGAAAAATAAAACTTCAAATTCAGTTTGGGCGGGGGGGGGGGGGGGGGGAGTAGAGTTTGGGAGTATCCGGAAGAACATGAGGACAGACTCCCCAAGGCCTGAAAGACACTGGTTTTATCTACTTTGCTTTTCATCTTCAGGGGAAGGATGGCTGGTTCTGGTTCCCGCAGCCTGCTGACCCAGGAGCCTGCACCCTTATCTTCCCCCCCACCTCTCTCCACATGGTCAGCAGATTGGCATCAGTTCATTCATCTGAGACACACAAAGGCCAAGGTTTTCACTCGATGATCATCTTCCAGCAATCTGTGTCCTAACAAGTGACTACCCTTTGTACTTGTACGGATGCAGTCGCTGACCATTTTCCAAAAGCATTCACAGACTGATAAGAAGAGTCCGGGAGCCCTCCGAGACTTTAAATTTCCCTACTCAACCAGAGCCCTATTTGACCATTGTAGTGGAAAATGAAATTATATTGTATACTAAGCTTTTAAAAATTAAAAAAAAAAAAATCCATATATGTTAAGATGGTACATCTGCCTCTATTCCAGGTTCAGTTCGTGAAACTCAGGAAGACCAATATGACCTGAAGAAGACTTTTCATTCCTTAAACAGACAATTGTTGAGTACCCACTAAGGGCAAGGATGCCAGGTGCTGGAAGTGGAGAAACATGGCTCCTTCCATGATGCTCTAAGGGGAGGGCAGAGAAGCAGACACCTCCGTAGGGAATGCAGGCATGTGATGGGCAAAAGGATCACCCCTGTAAAAGAACATTGTTCCGAAGGAGGCGCAAACGAGGCAGGAGCCCCAGGCCAGGAATATGTTCACAGCACAAGCATACGCATATCCCATTCCAAGAACCATAAACGTAAGAAAGACAAGCCCAGGCCACATGCTGCAAAGCTGCCGATACCAGCCTGAGAACCCTGGATTTTTAACGTATCATGGAGGAGCATGAGGGAGAAGTAGTAGTCCTGCTGGCTGTGCAGGGGTGGGGGCTCGGGGGGACGAGGCTGCAGAAATAATCCGCAGAGGGCAGACAACAGAGTGGGCCCCGCGACAGGAATGGAAGTAAGTGGAGATTTGAGACTTGGGGTCGGTACAATGCACGGGGGCTTGCACCCATCAGGAAAGGATGAAAAAGGTGAGGCCAACTCTGAGCACTCTTCCATGTGAACACCGAGAAGGATTCCATGGACCACCGGGCTTTGCTATATAAACATTTATTGTAGTTATTATTCATATCCTGCCTTGAGCCCTTGTTTGAAGCTCTGCAACATCTCTGGGACAAGTGGGGGAGTTATTTCAATCTTTCTCTTTACAGATGAGAACTAAGACGAGGGAAGCTTAGCCCCACCAGGGGAACCCAAATAACCCAATCAATTGATGGTGAGCTAGGATAAGAGATCTGTACGGTCCTTATTACACAATCCAACAAAACACAGAGATAGCTCAGAACTGTCCTATTGGCATGTTTCCAGCCTACGTGGGACAGAGTTCATAGACCTTTACAGCGTGAGCTATGCTGTAAAGTGGTTTCTTGATAATGTCCATTCCAAAAGCCAATGAAAGCCACCACAGTATACGGAATCACTTAAAAAAAAACAAATGGATGCGCAGGACTCAAGACTTACACCTTTGGTGGAACTAAATTCCCCTTATCAGATGCTACTTTCAGACTCAGGTGTTTCCATCATAAAGTTTTTAACAGAACAATCCGTCTAAAAAGCAGGTAAAGTAGGGGCGCCTGGTTGGCTCAGTCAAAGCATGCGACTCTTGATCTCCAGGTTGTAAGTTCAAGCCCCACATTAGGTGTAGAGGTCACTTAACATACATACATACGTTACTACATAGCAGGTGAAGAAATTTATTGACAAAGGTTTAGATGTTTTAGGACTTTCATGTCCTCCACACAGTCAAAAGAAAATACTGACAATGGATAAACAAGAGGGAAAAGACTCTTCAGCAAAGATCTTCCGGAACTCACAGCACCACTGGTCAAACACTATAAGGAGAACTGTCAAGTGAACCAACAAGAATGGAGTTTAACAGAGAATTTTAATTTAACAGCCTAACTGAAAAATAAAGAACAAAGGGCAACCAACCAACCTTCTACCCACTAAAAGGTACATAAAAGGGAATCAGGGAACATCGAAATCTGGTGAAGCAGTTTTTTGAAGAGGGAAGGGGGAGGGGAGAGACACCACTGAAAACGTTAATTCGTCATATGTGAGGTCAAGGATTCTAACAAATTCTCTTAAGTCTCTACATGCATCACCAAGAACCGTATTATTAGAAACAGATTGCATAGAGATATAAACCATTTGTTATTAAAAACAGACTTTGCTATATGAACATAGCGTATGTCAATTTTATCTCTTTATGAGAAGAACAGGATAAAGAAAGATCCCCCAGCTTGCCCTTCAGCCTGGAACCCCGAAACACTCACCACACAGTCAGTGTGGACCTTAATTAACAGGTGTAGAACCCAGGAGACCCCAATGCTGTCATTGTGGAAAGGATCAAGATTCAGCACCCAGAGGTCCCCACCCAGCCTCCATGCTGTCTTTGTGTGTCTCCAGAAATAAGCAACTTCAATTTGCATAATTAAGTCCACAGGCAAGTTTGAATACTCAGAAAAAGTAGCAGCAAAGACAAAGTTAGCCGGAATTCGCTAGAAAAGCTAAAGGAAGATTTAAAAAAAAAAAAACTTCCAGTTCAAGTCAGAATTAAGGTGGGGGCGCCTTTAAGTCCCACCAGCTCTGCAGAACTGTGGATGTTTTGTTGTTGTTCTTTGAAAAAATGACATCTATAATAAGCACGTTCCCTTGAGAAAAATACCGTGTTCACTAAGTTTCTGTCGTCATTCCCAAGTTACTTTAAATGTTATACACTGTTCAAGGACAGAGTATACACTGGTTAAGATGTGTTCATAGCTGATGCATCTCCAGAAAGTTCTTCATGAAGGCCGCCAGCTTCTGAACATCCTCAATCGTGACGGCATTATACAGAGAGGCCCGGATGCCTCCCACAGACCTAGAGTGACCAAAGATGCAGCCAGTAAGAACAAAAGCATCTCATTCAGCACAAGACAACCCTCTTTCCAGTCACCTGCTCCTGAGAAAGACACTGCACCTGAGGCCATCATGTCCAACCCAGGTGGCCAGCAGGTTCAAACGTCTAATCATTAGGAAATTCTCCCTAATGTAGTGACGGCCCATCCTGCTCACACAACCTGGATTAACTCAGTCAGGTATCCAATGGGAAGCGGGGAGTAGGCAACCACTGCAGGGCCGGTGTCTCACCTCCCCTGTGGCGAGGACACATACTTTTCAGAGCGTGCAGCATTAAGTATCTGATGTTCAGCTGGAGTGACAGTGATCTGTCCAGTCATGGGATGGCAACCTCAGGGCCATAAAAGCCATTTCAGAGATTTTCAAAGGGAATTTTGACAAAAGCCTGCAGACGTGGCCCCACTGTGCACCCAGCCAGGGAATCATGCTAGGGGCTCTGTAAGCAAGAGGAGAGGGGCGCCTGCCTGGCTCAGCTGGTAGAGCACGTGACTCTTGATCTCAGGGTTGTAAATTCAAGCCCCATGTTGGGTGTGGAGATTACTTAGAGCATCCAACTCTTGATTTCGGCTCAAGATATGATCTCAGGGTCATGAGATCAAGCCCCATGTTGGGCTCTGTGCTGGGCGTGGAGCCTGCTTAAGAGTCTCTCTCTCCCTCACCCTCTCCCTCTGCCCCTTCCTCCACCACTGTAATTATGCTTACATTCTCTCTTTCAAATAAATAAATAATAAAATCTTAAAAAGGCGGGGGGGGGGGCCCTGGGTGGCTCCGCCGGTTAAGCGTCTGCCTTCAGCTCAGGTCATGATCCTGGAGTCCTGGGATCGAGCCCCGCATCAGGCTCCCTGCTCAGCAGGAAGCCTACTTCTCCCTCCCCCTCTGCTGCTCCCCCTGCTTGTGCTCTCTCACTGTCTTTCTCTGTCAAATAAATAAATAAAATCTTAAAAAAAAAAAAAGGGAGGGTTACCCTGTGACAACTGGTCTTTCCAACAGTTACAAGAACTGCTAGTTCAAGCTGGGCAGACTCCTAGATGGGCAGATAGGTTTCATTCCACATTTGAAAAACGATGGGGCTCCTGGGTGGCTCAGTAGGTTAAGCATCTGACCCTTGACTTTGGCTTAGGTCATGATCTCAGGGTCGTGAGACAGAGCCCCTCCTCGGGCTCCTGCTAGGCATGGAGCCTGCTTCAGATTCTCTGTCCCTTCACCCCACCCCCATCCCATTTGTGTGGGTGCTCTATCTCTCGGAAGGAAGGAAGGAAGGAAGGAAGGAAGGAAGGAAGGAAGGAAGAAGAGAAGGGATGCCTGGGTGGCTCAGTCATTAAGCGTCTGCCTTTGGCTCAGATCATGATCCCAGGGTCCTGGGATCGAGCCCCGTATAGGGCTCCCTGCTCCGCAGGAAGCCTGCTTCTCCCTCTCCCACTCCCCCTGCTTGTGTCCCCTCTCTCGCTGTGTCTTTCTCTATCACATACATAACATACGTAAATAAATAAAAAGAAAGAACAAAAGAAGAGAAAAACTAAACCAGTTCTCTGATAAGCTTCTGGACTGGATGTACACTCACCTATGCCCTTTCAAGGAGATCATATTGAGTTCAAGAGCTTTATCAAGAAACCTTTTTTCTAAAGCATCGTCTCCTTTGGCATTGCCAATGCGGAACGGAATATTCATCTTGCTTCTGTTCTTGGGCTCCACTGGACATCTGAAAAACATTGATTATTCCAGTTACTTCTCTGAAATATGCGACAACCATTAACAAATCAACAGAAAAATTGCTTTAAATATTTTGTCAATACAAATAGAAGATTTAAAAAAATCTGCCGCAGGACCTTGGTAATTTTTACTTAAGGAGACCACTCTTGCATATGGAACAGTGAGTTGGCATTCCCTTGTATGACTTGTACTTCATTTCCATGAGCCTCAGTTTTCTCACTGCATAATGGAACTAATACCTTCATTTCAGACTAGCTGTCATAGCTTAGTGGCACAGCATATATGCAGTTTCCAATAAATGGCAACCACATGGTGATGTGAGTGACCCTCTCCCTACAAGGCTAGAGAAAAAAATATGCTGGTCCTAACAGTGGCTGAAGGACTCAGCCATGAACAGCTTTCAAAGCCCTTGTCACATTGCACTGTCCCAAGCTGTGTGACCTTGAGCAACTTACTAAACCTCTCTGTCGTGTCTCACTTTCCTCATCTACTGAATAGTGGGAAGAGTAATGGAATCTACCTTCTAAGGTTGATGTGATGATTAAGTGAGCCAGTATTTATAGGGGAGTTCTGTGGCTTTTAAATGGCCACAAATTCTCTATAGCCCTGCAGGCAAGAAGTGGGGTCTAGTTCTCCAACACCTTTGTTTTTTTAGATTTATTTATTTATTTATTTGAGAGAGAGCACAAGCGGGGGGAGGGGCAAAGGGAGAGAGAGAGAGAAGCAGACTCCCTGCTGATTTCAGGACCCTGAGATCATGACCTGAGCCAAAGGCAGCCTCTTGACCGACTGAACCACCCAGGCGCCCTTCTCTACACCTTTTGAATCTGGCTGGCCTTGTGACTTGCTTTGACCAAGAGACTGCAGCATCAGGGTCGCTATGCAACTCCCAAGCCTAAGCCTCAAGGGGAATACAGCCTCTCTACCTGCCCTCTTAAAACATGGCCGCCATGTAGGCAAGCCTGAGCTAGCCTGCTGGAAAAAAGCCCAGCAACAGCCAGCACCAACTCCCAGACATGTGAGTGAGGTCACTTGCAGACCACTGGCTGCAGGTGAATTACCATTGACTCTGATTGAATAAACATCCCAGGTGAGAGCCACCGAAGAACCACCCAGCTAAACCCAGCCCAGCCTGCTGACCCAAAGTCATGAGCAAAAAAAAATGGTTGTTGCTCTAACAACTGTCTTGTGTGTTCTGTGATGCAAAAACAGATTAACTGATACAGTTTAAAACAGTGTCTGAGGGGCGCCTGGATGGCTCAGTCAGTTAAGTGTCTGCCTTCGGCTCAGATCATGATCCCAGAGCCCTTGTCGGGCTCCCTGCTCAGCGGGAGGCCTGCTTCTCCCTCTCCCTCTGCTGCTCCCCCTGCTTGTGCTCTCTCTCTCTCTCTTTCTCTGTCAAATGAATAAATAAAATCTTTTAAAATTTTTTAAATAAAACAGTGTCTGGAACATACTAAAACAACCTAAGTATCCATTACATTCAACAAATGCAGCTTTTTGGTCCCAACATTTTGCACAAGGCTTATCCAAACTTTCAAAAACAAATGACGTGTGAGTTTTTATCTAGGAAGGGTTAGTATTTTGACTGCAGTTTCCGATTTGAAAAATAAGCAGCCAAAATTATGTTCCATGGACAATCAAAGGAGACAAATGGAAGAGCGGACATCTATTCCGGAATAAAAGAAGGAGTAAAATATGCAATAACCCCTTCTCCATTTTCAAGCTTGCCCTCTTTTATTCTTACACTTGTACAGGGTGTGATCCATTAAAATTAAACGGCAAATAAAAGCAGCATGAGGAAGCCCCCATGAAAAGTCATGCTCTCCCCGAAGGGCACATACATAATTCCTGCTAAAGTTAATAAGAGTCAAGTGCGCACCTACAGGCAACAGAGACGCCAAGCAGGGAAACCAAATATCTGGTAATGGGCTTTGAGCCTGAATTCCGCACACCTCCCCCTTTCACGAGATGGTAGGTTTCATGGCTGACATTTAAATTAAAAATTCATTGGCTACCCTCCTGATATCCTGCTCCCACAGAAGGGTCTAATTATAGAGGTGGCACGGCAAAGAGCACGTCTAATTTAAGAAAAAAAAATGAAAATGAGGAAGAATTAAACAACTTATTTACAGTTCAGCCCCACCCCAAATGGACCCATCCTATCATGAAAGTGGATGGTATCACGAGAGCCAACAAATGTTTACATAGGGGCGCCTGGGTGGCTCAGTTGGTTAAGCGACTGCCTTCAGCTCAGGTCATGATCCTGGGTCCTGGGATCGAGTCCCGCATCGGGCTCCCTGCTCAGCGGGGAGTCTGCTTCTCCCTCTGACCCTCCCCCCCTCATGCTCTCCCTCTCTCTCTCTCTCTCCAATAAAAAAAAAAAATCTTTAAAAAAAAAAAAAAAAAAAAAAAAAAATGTTTACATAGTACCCAAGAAGGTCTCTGGGAAAGGGCTCAGGGAGGGAAACAAAGATTCAAGGGGATTAACCGCTCCCAGTCTAGGGAGACAGCTGTGTAGGGAATTAACATGCCACATGAGAGGTCTGTAACAGCAAGAAGCACAGAGCCGAGCAAGGAATTCTGCCCGAGAGAAAGTGGGAACGTGTCTGAGGGACATGGCAAGGTTTGGACGGGTGAGCCAGAAGGACGGCCATTCTGGCAGAACTGCGTCTATAAAGGCCTGGGGGCCCCCCAGCAAGAACTCCGGGAACTGGAGTGTTGGGTTTCCTGGCCAGGGGTACGGCCCGGACGGTGGGGGGCCCTGCAGATACACCGATGGGAACTAGACTGGGTCCTTGAGCCATGAGGAGCAATCAGGTTTCCACAATATGAAATGTGAATTTTAGAAAAAGAACAACAGTACACAGAGGAGAGAATGGAGTGTGCGAACACCAGAAGGTGGAGAGACCTGCTAGAAAGCTCTTATAAAGAAGTTCCCTGGTCAGGGGGCGCCTGGGTGGCTCAGTCAGTTAAGCAGCTGCCTTTGGCTCAGGTCATGATCCCAGGGTTCTGGGATCGAGCCCCACATGGGGCTCTCTGCTCCACGGGGAGTCTGCTTCTCCCTCTGCCTGCCGCTCCCCCTGCTTGTACTGTTTCTCTCGCTCTCTCTCTGACAAATAAATAAATAAAATCTTAAAAAAAAAGACTCTGGAACCAGCCCCCCATGATGCTCCTCATGTGCATATCTTGCTCCCATTTCCCAGCTGCCACCTTAACCCGTCTGTGCCTCTGGAAAATAGGCTTAATGTCTGCTTCACAGGGCTGTGCTGACAATAAAGTGTTAGTATCTGTAAAGCGCTAGGGCTCCACCTGATTCCCTTTATGTCAGGGTTATCGCTAGACCCATCACACGCTCCCCTCTTTCCTAGGGTCTGGTCCCCACATGAAGCTAGCAAGAAAGGTGACCTCAGGCCTGGATATGGACACTATCACATGGATACCTTCAGAAGATCAAAATTCAGCATTCTGAGTGCTTTCCATAGTAACCCAAAATAATATTAGGAACTAATTCTTTTTTTTTTTAAAGATTTTATTTATTTATTCATGAGAGACAGAGGGAGAGAGAGAGAGAGAGAGAGAGAGAAGCAGAGGGAGAAGCAGGCTCCCAAGGAGCAGGGAGCCTGATGCGGGACTCGATCCCAGGACCCTGGGATCATGACCTGAGCCGAAGGCAGACGCTTAACCATCTGAGCCACCCAGGCGCCCAGGAACTAACTCTTAAGGAATGCTCCTTAGATGCCAAGTACTGCTTCTCATGCTTTATGCACATTAACCTACGCCAGAGCCCATGTTCTTAAGCCCTGTTTTATATTCTTTATTCACATGAATTTTCACTTAAGTCCTCAAGGCAGTCATAAGAAGTATGGACCATCATAATGCCCATCGTACAGGAAACGGAGTCTGGAGCAGTTAGGTTATTGGCTCAAGGTCACACACTAATAAATGGCAAAGAGGGGGGTTCTCTGCCCAGAATGCTGCACTGTCCACGTGGGCTCAAGTCAGGGTCGACCAGCGACACGTGGGTGGTTAGGCCATGGGATGAATGCAGGGACTTCGACGGCTGTCTCATCTAGTCTCGACATCCCTGCCAGGCTCACTGGTGCAGTCCCCAGGACTGTGTTCAGTACTGTCTCCAGTACTGTGTTCAGTATTCTAATTCTAGGTTACTTGGTATTCCTCTTTAAAATTGTTCACCTCCTGGGGCGCCTGGGTGGCTCAGTTGGTTAAGTGTCTGCCTTCAGCACAGGTCATGATCCCGGGGTCCTGGGATCCAGCCCCTCATCGGGCTCCCTGCTCAGCGGGGAGTCTGCTTCTCCCTCTCCCTCTGCTTGTGCACACTCTCTCTCTCTCTCTAATAAATAAGATCTTTAAAAAAAAATGTTCACCTCCCTTTTGGCGCCATATTTCTATAGATCGAAAGAAAAGTGGAGAATTTCCTGAAAATCCAAGTGACCCCAGAAAGAGCTAGCAAGCACCCAACTGCGAACTGACTCCAGTAACAGCGTCCCACAGGAATGTCAGGCACCGGGGTGACATTTTCTGGGCGGGCAGCCCAGGGAGGATGGAAGTTCCCAGAAAGAGGTTTACTCTAGAAGATGAAAATTCTGGGTCAAGGCCATCCGTAAGTAAAAGAGAAGTTTTGGATCGGAGGTGACCTGATTCCCCAGGAGACAACGCACCTGCCATGTTGGCTGCAGCAGGCTGCCTTCTGGGAAATGCCAGGTTGGGTGCTTGGAGTTTAAGAAGCTTGGGGGAAAAAGAATTCCAGGGATTCCCAGAGTTCCTCCTATGCTTTGTTTTGTTTCTAATTCCTGGAGTTTTGCAGACGCATTATCATTCTTTCTGTCCTTCCGTTTCGTGCCTACCCATCTCCTGAGAAATAAATGGAGCCAAAAGCTAATAGAAAATTTGGTCTCCCCTCTACAATAGCCAAGTGCTTTTACTCACATTCAGGTTCTGAGCACTCTTTGGGAGTCAGAAAAGATACCCCATTCTTCTGGGTAACCCAGGGCCTAGAACACAGCCCAGAGTACGTGCTCAGGAACATCTACTGGATGGATGGACGGATGGACGGACGGATGGATGGGTGTGTGAGTGGATGATGGATGGATGGATGAGTGCGTGGGTAGATGGGTGGGTGGATGGATGGATGAATGGGTGCATGGGTGGATGGTTGGATGGATGGATGGATGGGTGCATGGGTGGATACGGATAGATGGGGGGTATGATGGGTGGATGATGGATAGAAGGGTAGGTAAGTGGGTAGATGGGTGGACAGGTGAACAGAGGACTGAACAGGTGGACTAAACATGTCTTCAGACCTTTCCACACCTTCCTTCTAATCCAGCACAATCATCCCCTCCAGGCAACCCCAAACACAATACACTTTCTTTCCTCAGTACCTTTGCAGGGGCCATTCCCTGCCTTCCTAAAAATTCCTAAAAGTACTTTTGCCCTCCTCTAACTCTACTCATGCCCAAGCCTCAAGCTCATTCAAAAAAAAACAACCAAAAACCCCTACACCCCCTACAGGCAAAGCCGTATCATCTTACTGCTCCAAGCTTATAACTACTATTTAGACCTTGGCTGTGAACTCCTTGGACCATCTACCAAGCCCCCAGTCTGCACTTGGCTCTGTCAAACAGAACCAGAGCCCGCAGAAAGCATAGTGTGCACCCGTTACCCCAGACTGCACGTGGGAGAGGAGCCTAAAGGCTAAGGCGTCCAGCCAAACCCAACTCCCCACAGGGCCTGTGGCTGCAGGGTCACTGCACGCCAAGAACTCAGAGGTACAGGCAACAAGCATTTTAAGGGCAGAGGTAGCAGTAACAGACTGCTTTATCCTATCCGCTCCAAAAGTACGCCCCCACCCCCCACCCTTGGGTGCTCATGGGGATGTATTAAAAGTTAGGCTCAAAGCATTGTTTTGTCCACCCCACGTGGCACATGAATTCTCAAAGAAGAATGTACATTTTCCCATTACTATCAATCAGTTAATATCATTGAACCCAAAGAGTAATGGTCACTAAGTAGGAGGTCCCAGGCTTGGTAAAGGAGTATGTGTGTGTACAAATGTGTACACACACAAACATACACATATGTGTATGCACGCATGCACACACACACACACACATAGCATAAAGCCTCATACACCTGCCACTTTGAAGGCAGGGAAACGCAAATGAAAACATCATCTATTAAGCGTCTCATGTGCCAGGCACTGTACTAGATGCTTCTCAGCAGGCATTTTGATGAGAAATCTATGGTAGGGGACTGGACAGCAGCCCCCCAAAAGGTATATCCATGTCCTAACCCCCAGAACTTGTGGATGTGACCTATTTGGAAAAAGGGTCTTTGCAGATGTCATTAAGTTACAGGTCCCTAGTTGAGATAAATCATCCTGGATGATCTGGGTAGGCCCTAAATCCAATGACCAGAAGTGAAGACACACAACAAAGGTGAGGCCAGAGACTAGGGTGACAACACCACAAGCCAAGAAATATCTGGAGCCAGCAGAAACTGGAAGAGACAAAGAATGGATTCCACCCTAGAGTCTCTGAGGGAGCAAAGCCTAGCTGACGTCTTGCACTTCAGGCCTCCAGAGGAGTGCGAACAGATTTCTGTTGTTTTAAGCCATCAAGTTACTGCATTTTTGTTCCAGCTGTCCTAGGAGACTAAGGCAAGACCCATACGTGGTCTGTACCCCTCCCAGGCGTTCATCCCGTGGTCAACACACATTCATGAATCATTTGGTTACAAAAAGGTTTAACTAGAAGACTCCTCATACTATAGCCAATTCCCTTCACAGACGGCAGGCCTGGGATGGTAACCTTTGTCCTGTAATAAGGGAAGCAATGAACTTTCCTAAAAAGGTAAGTGACCTAGGGGCGCCTGGGTGGCTCAGAGCGTCCAACTCTTGATTTTGGCTCGGGTTGTGATCCTGGGGTTGTAGGATCGAGCCCCAGGTCGGGCTCTGCGCTCAAAGTGGAGTCTGCTTGAGATTTTCTCTCTCTCTCTCTCTCTAATAAATAAAACTTAAAAAAAAAAAAGGTAAGCGACCTGGCTGAGGGGCCCAGGAGTGGGTGTTTATACCAAGGGTCTCCAGTGGAGTCCCTGGGTAAAGCTGAGAGCTTCTAGCAAGTACACGTGTTTTTTCCCAGGAGACATATAGAGGAAGCAGACAGGGAGGAACTGAGATTTCCCAGGACAGATCTTTGGTGTGAGAAACATCACCACTCTCTGGGATTCCCTGGGTGGGATGCACAAAAGAAGAGCCAACCTGCCCTGTAATCCTGGGGCTCAGGACTATTCAGTTCACCACACTTCCAAAAGCTCAAGAAAGGGGAATACATCCACTTCTCAAAGGCATATGACATATACCCATCTTTTTAAAATTCACGAGCGGCAAACTGTGAGGCAAAAGCCCATCAACTTACACGTAGAATCCTTGAGAATTATCAATAATGTCATAAATCATCTGCGATTTGATGGTGCTGAGCTTCTCCATGGTTGCTGCACCGCCATTGTTCTTAATCCACTCCAGGACCAAGCCCATGACATAGATGCTGAAATAAAGATTAAAAATCCATCTAGTTCTGCTTTGCAAAAGGGCGACGGCGTTCAGAAAAAAAGGTTTAATTAGATTCCTCTCTGGAGCTCACACCGGTCCCCACCTGTCCAGCCCCAGCCCTAGTGCAAACTCCCCACAACACCTGGAACACACTTACCTCTTTCATTGCAGCAAGGGTCCTCTGGACCCTGGCTCCCCACCCCCACCGGTTAACCCCTTTACTTCCTACACTCCCAGAGCCCTCTGCCTGTCCTTCCCATAGTTTGTACCATTCACGCCCTTACTTTCTATTTCTCTGTGCCCACGACGTGGACTCTATGGTTGCGGAAGACCTGAAGCACAGTGTTCTAGCCCCCGAGCCCTCACATGGGGCCCTCTACTACCTGGCGGGAGGCAGTGTGGCATGGCGCTAGGAGCACGGGCACCAAGTCAGTCCTGACTCTAGTCTCACTGCTGCTATCACTAACTAAGAGCACCCAGGATTAGTCACCTTGGGAATCCAAACCTCGGCTTTCCCACCTGGAAAGAGGGAGGCCTACCACCCTATGGCGGACACCAGGCATTTTAGCTGCCCTGATCCCCCAACCCCACTCCTACCCAACAGGCAGATCCAGCTGGGTCCCTTGTCCCCTGGTCTCACAGCTGGGCCGGGGCCCTACCTGGGCCAGAGTCCTCCCTGGGACTCTCTGACTTGGGAGGGAGGACAAAGAGGCAGACCTGTGTGTTCGTGACAGTGTGAGACATGAGTAAGAACACCCGAGGGAGGCTCATCTGAGAAAATGAAGCCAATATTCCAGCAGAAAGAAGCAAGGATCAGAAACAGAGAGGAGATGGGGTGGCATCTGTGTCCCTGGTTCCAGAAGCCACAGCCCCTCGGCTGCTCATGGAGCTTGGGAGGGTTCCTTTCTGAGCCAGAATGTCAACTCTGCCACCTGTAAGACCCCGAGGCTTGAGAGGACTATAGGAGACAGACTAGGTGACAGGTTGGGTGAAGGGCTTAGTGCAGGGTCCAGCACGTGGCAGGTAGGTCACACAAGTGTAGTTAGTGGCATCTTCGTTACCAAGTGCTCAAAACTAACCCAAACACGCAGTGTTGAAGAGCAGTGGGTGGTCTTCTGAAAGCCCATCTCTTAAAAAGATGCCCAGGGCTCCGTGTGGCCCTCACTGAAAGCTTGTGGGGGCAAAATCACAGGCCTCCAAGGGAAGAGACTCCATCCTCTTGAGCTGGGAATCTGAAGATCAGCTCTCAGCTAGGCACTCTCCAGCGGGGGGACAAAGGCCCCCTATGGGAATCTGTGCAAACTGAGTTGCCAGGAGTCAATGCCCAGCGAATATCCAGCATGGTAACCCCTGGACAAGAGCTACCTTGTTTTTTTTTGTTTTGTTTTGTTTTTTTAAAGATTTTTTATTTATTTATTTGAGAGAGAGAGAATGAGAGATAGAGAGCACGAGAGGGAAGAGGGTCAGAGGGAGAAGCAGACTCCCCGCTGAGCAGGGAGCCCGATGCGGGACTCGATCCCGGGACTCCAGGATCATGACCTGAGCCGAAGGCAGTCGCTTAACCAACTGAGCCACCCAGGCGCCCAAGAGCTACCTTGTTTATTAACACCATGGCTCTCTTTCCACTGTGACAGGTTGAAGCAGATCACTGGATCTGGAAAAACTCTAATAGCCAGAAGCTGGTGCCAGGGGAAGCCCAAGGCTCTGACTGGTTCATTCACTGTCACAACCTGGTAGGTAGGGGACCCAGGTGTTTCCAACCCCAGAAGTTAGCAGAAGTCAATGCCAGGCTGTCCAGTAGGCAATGGGCACCCAAAGCCATGTAATAGGTTCTCCAGAAACTTCCCCAGCTTGAGGAATGAGAAATAGTAGCTAGTGGCAGAAAAGGAAGGAAGAATAGAGCTTAGAACAGGCCCTGAGTAATTTACAGCCTCAGCTGTAGCTCTCTGGATCGAGACTGAGAAATCAGGGGCGCCTGGGTGGCTCAGTCGTTAAGTGCCTGCCTTCGGCTCAGGTCATGATCCCAGGGTCCTGGGATCAAGCCCCGCATCGGGCTCCCTGCTCCGCGGGAAGCCTGCTTCTTCCTCCCCCGCTCCCCCTGCTTGTGTTCCCTCTCTTGCTGTCTCTCTCTCTCTCTGTCAAATAAATTAAAAAAGACTGAGAAATCAGAGGCACAAAGAGAAAGAAGAAAGAGGCAGGAGTATTTCCTACCATCTATTATGGGGCCAGGCATCCAGCTAACTGTTCTCCCTTTTATTGATCACAATAACCCTGAGGTCAGAGGTACCATCAGCCCATTTTACAGATGAGGAAACAGAGGTTTGGGGAGCTGAATTTGGCTAATGTCATCCATTAAGTGGCTGATAAAGCCAAGATTACAACCCCAAAGTTGACTTTGGTCTGACTCCAAAGCCCAAGCTCTTTTCACAGTCACCAAGGCATCTGGTTTAGGAGGGGCTCCAGGCCCCTCCACCACTACCTCCCCTGCTCGTGGGGCACCAAACCTCACAGACACAGCTGCCAAGTGCAGGGGCTACAACAGCTTCACAGCACACGCGTGTGTGTTCCAGACAGGACGCTGCCCGCCCCCCCCTCTGTTCAGTAAGATGCTCTCAAATTCCCATCTAACCCCAAACTGCTCGCTCCCCCACGAAGCCTGCCCCATGATCCAAGCAGAGCCACTTGATGCCCATTCACTGACAGTACTCTTATCAGAGGCCACATTTTGCTTCTACCCATAGCTCTGTGACCCTGGAGTTCCCTAAGTAGTGGAAAGTAGTGCTTTCTCACTACTCAAATCCAAGGCCGCAGCAAGGCCCAGGGCAGGTCCACAATCCCAGCCAGTCCTCAGCACCAACACACTGCCCGCTCCGTGGCTGTCACGCTCAGACTCACAGCCCATGCGCCCTGCCGATCTTACTGCGATCTGAGCAGCCAATCAGCAGAAAGCCCTCCCACTCTACGCGCTGCCCAGAGCCCGCACCCGGAGCCTCGGCTGTGAAGCCTCAGCAAGAGGCAGGGCCCTCGCAAGGAAGCAGGTTCTCCCTGTGGCTTCTCATTCTACCCCCATACAATCCAAACTCTTCAAAATACAGGGGACCTCGTGGCGTCTGGGTGGCTCAGTCGTTAAGCGTCAGCCTTCGACTCAGGTCATGATCCCAGGGTCCTGGGATCGAGCCCCTCATTGGGGTCCCTCCTCAGTGGGAAGCCTGCTTCTCCCTCTCCCACTCCCCCCCTGCTTGTGTTCCCTCTCTCGCTGTGTCTCTCTGTCCAAATAAATAAATAAAATCTAAAAAAAAAAAAAAAAAATACAGAGGACCTGGATGCTTATGCAGCTCTGCAACTTAGTCTCAATTCTCCCCACTAACCAATGGAACATGCCTGATTGCTGCCTTCACTCCTAAAAGGCCACCTGCATCACACAGCAAGTTTATCATCTAAAGCCGGCCTATTAATAAGTAACTAAATAAATCACAGATCCATTCTGTGGAATACCTTACAGCAATTCAAAGGGAAAAAAAAAAAAA